AAGCACGCCACGCTGCCAAACGCTATGTTTCTTGCTCATATGAACAAGCTGTAATTCGGAATATATGTACTGACACATTCACTCATTACACAATGCAACAAGAAATATTTTTGTTACCCATTGCGTATGCTCTGTGAGTTAAAAAAGTCGCGTCAATTCACTTAGGGTTGTCGATTTACGTTGAATTCATTTCAGCTCGTAATGTCATTTACATTAGGACAATTACTTCGACGACAAGCTGGTGATGTTTGACGTCAAAGAAATACTTATGTTTCATCTTAATTAGTCACGTGCCGCAACACATAAATGTTATTGGTACGAAATCACCGCGTTTTGGGAAAGCGTTCTACGTATTTCTATACTTATCACTATGACTCGCTGTCAACAATACAGCCAATGAAGTAGATAAGCATCAAGTATGCACGTGCTTATTATCTCACTCTGGTGATGCATTTTTAACGAGAATGAATGAATTTGATCGCTTTCCGACATTCCGACTGACTTGTACGTTATATCTTGTATTTATTTCTCTTTTGACTCTGAAGTCTATCATATAGACTCGCTGCAATACACTTCTCTTCCTTCGCGGCAGCACTTTGGCTTCTCTCGCCATCCTGTCAACCGTATGTACAGGTCTTCGGAAAGGTTGCGCTGATCGCAAAGTCATGTTTACATATAATGGATGTGTTGGAGAGTATGGGAAGAGAAAACATGCCGGAATTTCTGTTGGTGGAAATGTGCGCGGAATTGAAGTATGTGGGGTTCGATTATTACTACAAGTAATGAAGCCTGAAAGTAGTCAATAGCTTAAAGGTTCAATATACTCGTACCAATGTGAGGGTGATGGCATATACGTATCAAGTTAACGCAATAGTGTATATTTTTAGACGTAGAACATGACTGGATTGATATTATGCGATATTGCCTACACTCACTGGACAAAAGTCTACGTAATTTTTGTCGATCACATAGTAAAACATATGAAAAATCTATTTTTTCGA